GCGTGGGGCCGGGCGCGTGCGGGCCGGGGCCTGAGCGCGTCCCCGCTGCCGCCGCAGACAACGAGGCCGACTCCGCGGACCTGTCGCGGGCGCTGAAGCTGGTGCGGGAGCTCATCTCGGCCATCAACGAGGAGGTGCACACGTTCGAGATGAGCGCGCGGCTGCAGGAGGTGTACGGGCGCGTGGACGGGCGCGCCAAGGTGCCGCTGCTCTGGGAGAGCCGCCCCGGCGTCTTCGGCAGGGACGAGCTGCTGCGGCGCAAGCTGGTGCACAGCGGCTGCATGCTCTGGAAGACGGCGGCCGGGCGCTTCAAAGGTCGGCGGCGTGGGGACGGGGAGCTGCCGGGGGGGACGTGGGGAGCAGGGTGCCAAGGGGTGTCCCAGGGTGCTGGGACAGGGGATGGTTGGAGATGGGGTGCCCCTGGATGGGGGTGCTGGAGGATGAGGGTGCTGGGAGATGGCATTGGCAGGGGATTGGGTGATGGGATATGGGGACCAGGGTGCCAGGGATGGGGATCCTGGAGCACCAGGGTGCTAGGAGGTGGTGATGGCAGGAGTTTGGGTGCCAGGAGATGGGGATCCTGGCGGACTGTGATGCCAGAAAATGTCAGGGAATGGAGGTGCCAGATCCTAGAGCGCACAGGGGTGCCTGGACGCCCTCGCCCTCCATGGGCAGCTCTGGAAGGAGCCAAGGGGCTGCCCAGGAGCGGCCCCATCACGGTCCTGCTCCTCCTTCCAGATGTCCTCGTGCTGCTGATGACYGACGTCCTCATCTTCCTGCAAGAGAAGGACCAGAAATACACCTTCCCCATGCTGGTGAGCCGCGGGGCGTCCGGGTGCTCCCGCAGGACATCCAGGTGCTCCCATGGAGCGTCCAGGGGCTCCTGCGTCACCCGGGCACCTCTCAGCCCCTGCCACCGCTGTGCCGCAGGACAAGCCGGCCGTGATCTCCCTGCAAAACCTCATCGTGCGCGACATCGCCAACCAGGAGAAGGGCATGTTCCTCATCAGCGCCGCGCCGCCCGAGATGTACGAGGTGCACGCCGCCTCCCGCGACGACCGCAACAACTGGATGAAGGTCATCCAGCAGACGGTCAGCCTGTGAGTGCCGCGGCGGCGAGCACGGGGTTTGCACAGTGAGCATGGGGTTTGCACGGCGAGCGCGGGGCTTGCACGGCGAGCAGGAGGTTTGCACGGTCATTGTGGTGTTTGCACGGTGAGCGCGGGGTTTGCACAGCGAGTGGGAGGTTTGCACGGTGAGCAGATGGTTTGCACAGCGAGTGCGAGATTTGCACAGCAAGCACACAGTTTGCACAAGGGTTTTGCATGGCAAATACCAGGTTTGCATGGGGAGCACAGGCTTTGCCCAGTGACTACGTAGCTTGCACGGTGAGTGTGYGCTTTGCACACCGGGTATGGGCTTTGCCCAGTGACTGTGGGTTTTGCACGGCGAGCTTGGGCTCTGCGCGGTGCCGGGTGCGCGCTGGAGCTGGCGCAAGGCCGATGGCTCCGCTGCACCCAAATCCCTGTGGGCTGCGCCCTGGATACGCTGGRATGGGGGTGTCCGGAGCCGGGGGGACACGTCCCCACTGTGACCTGTCCCCTGCAGCTGCCCCAGCCGCCAGGACTTCCCCCTGATCGAGACAGAGATCGAGGCCTCCCTGCGCAAGCTGAAAGGTGGGTCCGGGCCCCCATCCGTCGCCTCCGCGTGCCGCGCGGCGCCGCGCTCAGCCGCCCGCGCCGCCCCCAGACCGCATCCTGCAGCACGACCGGGAGATCGAGGAGCTGCTGGAGGAGAAGGTGCGGCTCTTCGCCGACATGCGCGCGCTGGCGGGCGCCGAGGAGCCCTCGCCCACCCTGGCGCCCCGCACCCTCTTCCGCTCCGACTCGGGCGAGGGCCCGCGGGGCGAGCGCCTCATGCACGACGCCATCCGCGAAGGTAGGGGGACCCCGGGGCGCGGGGACGGGGCGGCCGTGCGCCCCCGCTCAGCGCCTGTCCCCGCAGTGGAGAGCCTCAAGGAGATGCTGGCGGGCGCCGGGCGCGACCGGGACAACAACCATGAGGCCGAAGGCTGCTGCAGCCCCGGCGCCAGCAGTAAGAGCAGGGGCTGGGGGACGGCGGGGATGGGGTGGCGCCGGCAGCCGCTCACCCTGGCGCTCTCCCCGCAGACGGCGACGCCTTCAACGGCGCCCCGGAGTTTTGCCGCGGCGACTCGGACGCYGGGCAGCGGGTGAGTGCGGCCGGGCGGTGCCACACGGTGACGGGGACGTCCCCGGCGCCCTGTCCCTGCGGTGACTCCTGCGCTCCCTTGCAGGACGGCAACGGCAACCAGCTCCTGCAGAAGGTGCCGCAGGAGGTGAGTGGGGACAAAGCGGGGGCGGCTGTGGCGCTGCTGCACATTGTCCCCTTGGGGGCTCACCCTCYTCTTCCTCCTTGCAGGAGGTGATGCAGCGGCTCATGAACCTCTACACGCTGCTGCACGGCCTGCAGGTGGGCACAGCATGGGGCAGGGAGGGGACAGGCCGTGCCGCCGTGTCCCCATGCCGTGTCCCTGTGCCGCCGTGTCCCCGCAGGCGGTGGTGAGCCAGCAGGACACGCTGCTGGAGCTGCAGCTGCAGGAGGGCCCCGAGCGGCGCGAGAAGCAGGCGCGCGGCAGCGAGGCACCGGCGGCGGCGCGGGCRGGCGAGAAGCCGAGCACGGAGCTGGCGCTGCTGCAGCGGCAGCACGCGCTGCTGCAGGAGGAGCTGGCGCGCTGCCGGCAGCTGTGCCAGGAGCGGGCGCAGGAGGCGGCCGCGCTGGAGTCGCGCCTGCGCGACAGCGAGCAGGAGCGCGCGCG